TGATCATTTTGACTCATATTCCAAGTACAATATTTCAGAAATTACGGGATATCATGACCAATATTTTTTTCATAAAGTACTGCATATTGCTGTATTACAATGTATATTGTAAATGTATAAAAATGTCTTGTTTTCCTATCTTAGACAATGCTAGATTTACTTACAGTATTTAACCACAAAACAAGCGGTTTAATCTTGTGCAAAAACAAAATTAAAACAAAAAAAACATTAAATTTGATGAAGCATTTCCTGACACGATATCAATGAATGTTTTGTTTTATGTTATTAGCATCTCCTGAAGCCAAACTATGATGTGGTCAAGAGATGGGTCAATGAATGCCAAGAAGCTGTGTCTAGTGATAACAATATGGTTCAGGTACAGTCTTAGTTGGTGTCTTGTTTCTTGTTTAGTTTGATTGATCAGAGGTCTCACAACTCTGAATAAAAGTCATTGTGATTGCCTGGCTAGAACAATAGGCTCTATTTTTTATGCCTTGTTCTTTAGAGTCACGCTGTGTTGAGCCAACCAATTACCAACAATGTTCTTTGGCACTGCGACCTAACCCTGTTGGATGGACATAAATGAATTGATGAATAAAGGGATGAATATGAAAATAAAATGGAAAATAAATGAATGGATGATGAAGGAGATAGATAAATTCTTTGAGATGAATGAAGTTATAGATGATGAAATTAAAGAATGAACAGAAATTTCAAAAATGAATGGATGATTGTCCAAAGAAAATGGAAAATAAATGAATAGATGATTAAAGAGATGATTAAATATAATTTGTTTGTTTTTTTAACAGTATCATGCACTTGGATTACTTTACCATATCAAGCAAAGTGACCGTCTTGCAGTGTCTAAATTAATAGCCAAACACTCAAAGCACTCCCTTAGGTCTCCATACGCAGTATGCATGTTGGTAAGTATTGGGCTCATATTAGTATTGTATCTGATGTTCTAGCGATAGCCAGGCAACAAGGACTATTATTGCTGTCATTAGAGTGCACGCCACATAACCATGAAACAATTCTTAAGTAATTAGCGCCTAATACGATGTAGTTATCAACTAACTAAGAATTTAGTGAGGCATAAACAAAGACAAGTTTCCTTTCTGGCATTGTGTTCATGCCCCAGTGAGTGAATTCTAGGTTAGTTCATAACTAAATCTTATTAGATGTTGATAGTTAAGAATTCTTTCACGCTTTTTTGGCACTCTATTTCAAGGTTCAAAAAGGAATGCACTAATGATAATCATCATCATCATCATTATGACACAACTGTCATTCATTCGTGTCCTTCTCTATCACTAKCATCCATTTACAAACCAGATTCATTACTTAAGTTGATAAAATTACTTAAAATAAATGCACTTTCTCTTTACTCTAGATTCGCATTGTTTCAAAGTACCTCGATGAAGAGCCAGATGCGTAAGTATAAATAAAACRTATATTAAACTGATTTGTATTCTGTATTTCTGTGCTGTGGCAGTATCAATTATGTGTTTTCAATAGCCATGGTAGATGATTCTACTGTACAATTAATATTGACATTTTAATGCTCAAACTTTGTATGAAATTAACTGTACATGTCTGTTTGTATAATTAGTTATAAAGTCACACAACTTGTAACTTGATTTCTCCTCTTTATTGTACATTTTGGGCATTCACCCTTCCTCAGCAAACTGAATACTTTGCACACGCCACTATACAATTTGGTTGGTGTGGTAATAGTTGATTATTTTGGTTTGTCATTACAGAGCAAGCAGTCCCCTGTATGATTTCCTAGAGAATTGTCTCAGACACAAGAGTGAGGTGAGATCAAYCTCCATATTCTTGACCTCATTTTCACATAGTCAAATTAATTTATTATATTTTGTACTAATAATTTATTTTGTGATGTGGTAGATGGTGATTTATGAGGCYGCACGTGCCATAGTCAACTTGAAGAACCTGAAATCTAAAGACCTTTGTCCTGCAATCTCTGGTACTGTGTTGGTTTAGTGATGTCTCCACTTAAACTGAAAAATGATATTGAGAGGGATTCTTTTTTTGTTTCTTCAGTTCTTCAACTGTTTTTGAGCTCACCACGGCCAACACTAAGGTTTGCAGCTGTACGTACACTCAACAAGGTTGCCATGACGCAGCCTATGTCTGTCACTACCTGTAACCTTGACCTTGAGAACTTGATCACTGATGTTAATAGGAGTATTGCAACATTGGCTATTACAACATTACTTAAGGTGATGACTATATCATAATCAGTCTCTGTCTGTCAATCAATCAATCAGTCAATCAATCTTGTCATCAGTCATTCAGATAATCATTCATTTAATCAGGCATTAGTCAGTTAATAAATCATGTAATCAAGCAATCATTCATTCTGTCAATCAATTAATCATTCAATCATTTAGTCAGTCAATCATTTTACAGCCAGTTAATCATTCAATCATTTAGTTAGTCAATCATAAGTCAATCAATGAATCCTTTAATAAATAATTAAGTCAATCAGTTAGCCCAACAACAATCACTCAGTCAATCAACGAGTCTGCTTATCAATAAATTGAATTTTTCTTACAATCCAGACTGGTAATGAAAGCAGTGTTGAGAGGCTTATGAAGCAGATTTCATCCTTCATGTCAGAAATCTCTGATGAATTCAAGATTGTTGTTGTTGATGCAATCAGGTACAGTCTAGAATCWTGATTTTCTCAGCTCTTTAGTTYAACTTCTTCGTTTTCCAATTCTTTGTATGTTGATTGTACTATTATTATTTCATCAGGTCTCTTTGCCTCAAATTCCCAAGAAAACACATTATTATGATGAACTTCTTGTCCTCCATGCTTAGAGATGAGGTACAAAATCAATAATTTTCAGTACAGAGAACTATAAACAATTCCTAGCACAATTTTGAAAGATAGCCATATCTTTTCATCATAGCAAAGCAGAAGTTGTATTTGCAAATGGATTGATATTATATTATTCTAGTTGTACAAGAAAATTATTGTCTCACTTCAATGAAAAAGCAAGACTATTTTTCAATGTTTTGTTGTGGACTTGTTCTTCCCAGTTTGCTATTTGGAAAATTTGTTATAAGAATAGCAAGTCTTTTGTTGTTGTTGTGAATGATGTTGCCTTGTTTATTTTCATATTAGTTAAATAATAATCTTGTGTGTCTTTAGGGTGGTTTTGACTACAAAAAAGCTATTGTTGATACTATTATCACTATCATTGAAGAAAACTCTGAAGCGAAGGAAGCTGGTAAGTCTCTATTTGATGATCTTTGTACTGTTTAGAAATGGATAACTTTTTCACTTTCTACCATAATCATAAAACCATCTGAGTTCCAGTTTTGCCTAATGTTACTTGTGATTTTGAAAGATTGCTCTCACTTGTTTACAAGATACATTGATAGTCTCTCTCCAATACACCTTTTCAGTTGCACTTAGGCTTCGATA